GCCCCCAGCTAGTTTTGGATGATAAACATTTGTATCAGGTCAACTAAACATGGGCATAGTAACAATATTTTTATACTACATTTATCCATTTTTAAATATACTAACCTCACTCATTTGTAACAACTAAGGCAAAAATGTCATTAACTCAGAAAATCTTTTCAGGACCCCACCTTGATGTTTTGGGACCCCACTTTGGGTCCCGAACCCAACTTTGGGAAACACTGCTCTAAGGGAAACACTGGAAAGGTCTAAAAAAGTTTTTGAAGCTGTTCTTGATAAAACAATTGACTGTTATTAACTCAGTCTAAAATGTTTGCATCTCTTTAATCAGATGTCATATATTATATACCTCTGTATAACCATGTTAATATTTTTGTTGTACAAATACGGTACACGTTTTAATTATTTTAACAAAATTTGAAGATTTTTGTTTTGGGCAGGTAACTTTTCATGTTGGGCAGGTAACATTTGTTGTCACCTGCCCAATAGGGCAGGTAGAAAAAAATAAATCTTGTCAAACCCTGGGGGAGTTGTCCCGTAACCAGAAGGTTGCCAGTTCGATCCCCTATTCCAGCTGTCTCAATTGTTGTGTCCAAGATACTTCACCTGCCTTGCCTACTGATGGTGATTAGAGGGTCCGGTGGCACCGGTGCATGGCAGCCCCACCCCTGTCAGTGCGCCCCAGGGCAGCTGTGGCTAAAGTGTAGCTTACTACCATCAGTGTGTGACTGTGAGTGTGAATGGGTGCATGTCTGTGTGTGTAAAGTGCTTTGGGGTCCGGAGGGACTTAATAAAGCGTTATAAACAGTATGTTCAGTCCATTCACCATTTTTTACCATTGTTGCCAATGTCTCTCTCTTTTTTTATTTTTTCAGGCTGAAGAGAAATTGCTACGGAGCCGAGTAGAAGAACACACCATGTGCCTCCCACCCACCACCGACCATCCAGTTGTGAGGACTCCAGTCTCTCATGCGTCTCCACATTCCACCACCGAGCCGATTCCCATCCGTCCACCAGAGCCGTCCCTCCACACAACACTTCCCAGATCCTTGCCGGAGTCAACCAGTAGCAGCAGCACCAGTCCCAATACATCTTCAYGTGACTCTTCAAACCCCATCGCCTTGGGCCCAACAGCTCACAGTCCCTTTGGACGACCAAGCAAACGAAGGGCTTGTGACCCACTGGTGAGGAGGCTTGAACTGATCAATCGGGAGATGGACAGGATCAACCAGGAAAAGGAGAGGATCAGTCTGGAGCACGTCGATCAGCCTGGGAACGAGGACAAACATTTTAGTGCTGTTGTCGCTGACTTGTTATCTAGAATTCACGCTGACCACAAATCAGCAGTGAAATTCAAGATACACCAGTTGTTGTTCGAAGCAGAGCAGAACTACCCTGTMGAAAAGTAGCAGCATTTGGTAATTGTTTCTCAAACCATTCTAAAACAGGGTTTTGCAATATTTGTTTTTTGTTTTGTATTAAAATATTTTAAAAAAAACTTAATTTGACACTCTTCAGTTCTATCAACAGTTTTTGTCATTTCTACATCAAGTTGTTCAAAACTATTGTAGAGTTTACTACTGCAAACTAAATTCATATCAAAACATTTCAACAATGTAACAAATGTGTACATAAGAGAAGCACACCACATAATCCTAACCTAATAAAGTGGGGTGAAGTGAACAACAA